ATGCCTCAATATCGATTTAGCCTTAAAATGACAAACTCTCAACACGTAAATTATTATATTTGCTTTACTCGTTTTCTTGCTGGAATATGTGATAGGTTCGCTCAAAATTGGTCGTTATTCTCACTTCAACATATGCTTGCCAATCGTCTAGATTACTCAGAATCAATCAAAGCTCAAAATTTTTGAATCAAGAGGACTTCTCGGGTTAGAATGTGGGTAAAGATAACGATATATAAATAGACAAGAAGCTCAATTAATCGATCACATTCTCAAGTAATAGAATACTTGAATGTCCACCTCTCGACCAAAATATACCATCCACCAATGTCTCCACAAACAACACATAAATGTTCCAATCAAGTTGCAATATTGCTTGACTATTTACAATTTTTATTTTATTACTTTTTTTATTCTTTTTATTTTTTTTCAAGAGTTACTATTTTCGACAAGTTCGAATCGTATGGATAATATTCCTTAGGTTTATACATTGAAGGTCATCTAAGTATCCTAAAGTGGTTTCCCAATGCTCATTACTCGTTAAAATGAATAACAAGTAAGCGGAGTAGAATCCAATCGGTTCGTCTTGCGAGCTCTTGAGTATATATATATTTTTTATTATTATTTTTTTCTCTTTTTTTTTTCAAGCAATAGAATACAACTCGATTTTTACCTCGTTCAAAAATAACGCCACTTCACCAATCGTAACTCAACACCTGTCAACAATCAGATAAATATATGTATGACTTACAAGAAAAGGCTTCAAGTTCAAACGGCTACTAGTGGAAAATGTATTTGTAGGGTAAAAAACAAGGCAAAACGAGCTAACAAACAAAACGCCTTAATCATTTTCGCAATTTCAAACTTAAACTGATTCTTTCAAATAGACTCAAGACAAGTTCTAATCATTCGAGAATACGACCAATATCTCTCAAGAAAGAAGAATAAGGATCAAAACCTCACAAGGTAAAATAGATGTCACCCAAAGCAATCAAGTAGATATCGAGGCAATAATTAATACGTCCGTCATCACAACTTCACAATTTCATCAAACATTTATCAACAAATCATATAATTTACCAATACCACATGTAGAAACACAATAAATTGGATACTGTATACTAGACAGGTTTACCACCTAAGCATCCAAATAACTCCACCACACTTAAAATAATGCGATGTCCTCATTGCCTCAACACATAAGTGGAAATAAAAACAAAAATTGGGAATTCAAACAAGAAAAAGAAAAAGAAAACAAAAATTGGGAATTCAAATAAGAAAAATAAAACAAAAACAAAAATTGGGAATTCAAATAAGAAAAAGAAAACAAAAACAAAAACTAGGAATTCAAACAATAAAAAGAAAAAAGAAAACAAAAACTGGGAATTCAAACAAGAAAAAAAACAAAAACTGGAAATTCAAACAAGAAAAAGAACAAGAAAACAAAAACTGAAAAATTCAAACAAGAAAAAAAAAACAAAAACTGAGAATTCAATCAATAAAAAGAAAAGGGTGTGCAAACCGGAGTAGTCTCGAGGGATATAAGTATTAAAGTTCAAGCCTTCTGCCCATGATCAACCGATCCTCGATACGTCCTGCTCAACAAACCACAAAAAAAAAACTCCAAACTCCCATTATTCAAAGAAAATAAAAATAAACTAAAAGGCATAAACAAAACACACAATAAAGCAATAAATGAAACTTCGGTTGCCTCACAAGAAGCGCTTGTTTATCTTCATTAGCTTGATGAAACCTGAACTGTAATTAATGAGACTGTCGGTGACAGGTAGTCGTAGGTGGTCATGGTAGGAATCTTCTCGAGAGATGATACGTATGGCAAATGAAGTGTTTGGATCGAATATTATATATATATTATATATATATATATATAT